CACTGTGTGTCTGAAAACAACTTTACATAGACTCACAGAGAGTGAGGGAGAAGGTGAATACTGCAGAGGGGCTAAACACATGGCTCTCAATTAGAGATCAGATATTCGAATCTAGCTGGTCAATGTGTTTTCTCCGATATTTGCAACATTGGAATGATTACAAAATGAAGTTTACACCTGTTTTAATGCGTCACCCAATCACAGTTTGCTCACTGTCTGTCACATAAAAAATGTATTTCAATAACTGCTAATTATTTTTCAATATTGGCAGCATCACAATCCAATCCAATCCAACTTTATTTATATAGCACTTTTAAAAACAACAAAGTTGACCAAAGTGCTTTCCAATAATAAAACAGAGATAGCAGTTAAAACCATACTTTAAGCATACAATGAAATCAATAAACAAAACAAATATATAATTGAAAAAGAAGATAAAAATAAATCAACATGAGTAGAATAAACAATAAGATATACAATGAATAAGATTAACAAAGTAAAAAGATTAAGAATGACCAACAGCTGACTAAACTGACTACAAACTGGCTCTGATAACACTCCTAGAAGGCCTTTGAAAAAAAGTGTGTTTTTAAAAGTGATTTAAACATTTCAAGTGCTGAATTGTGCGGAAATAAAGTTCTGAGACTTCTGAGACTCTATTCAACATTACAAAATTCCTGTCATGACCGGTGGTCTAGGAACTACATTAAGATTTAGTTTCCACTCTATAAAAAAATAAGTTTCTCATTTCCTTAAGGTATCTTCTTATACTGCCCCAACCATGCCTCCTCCAAATGACTCATTACTCCAGCCCATTTGGCCCATTATTTTCCACAGATGTTACATCCTTGTTCTGATTGGTTATTCCTCCCATCTCTGCTTGTCCCCAGCCCAATATTGGATGCTGTAGTCCTCCAGAGCAAGACTGTGGCCATCTGAGCTGCTCTGTGTTATTTTAGTCTTTGAGGATAATGGCAAGAGATCAATGTGATGGATGGTTTTTATGAGGGCAGAGTATTGATGGCTTGATGGCAGTGAGCTGAGGCTGTGGGAAGGGGAACATCAGTCTGAATACATTACCCCCACCCTCTCAACCCTCCCCCTTTTTCCTGATTCCTCCCCATTCCTGTTTTTTTCTTTTATTTATCACTCTGTATTTTTTTCCCCCTTTTCTCAACCCTCTCTTCTCCAGCTCAGCCAGCTGTAACTGGTCATTAACACAAACATTAAGAGCTCTATGAATCCATAGCTCCTCCATCTCCTTGCTACTGCCCATAAAACAGAGCAGCAATAATGACACACACAATAGCCACACTTGACAATCAGGGGCAGGGGACAAGTGTCTCCTATATTAATGGTAAAAGCAAAGCTATTAGAGGGGTGCTGGTGGTTACTTTAATTGGCTTACAAATAAGTGTTGAGTTAAAAGGCTCTCGGTATTTGACAGTTTTTCATCAGCAAAAAAAGTTTAAGTTCAGTTAGGTTGGTAATGATAAAATATGAATTAGGTGATGCAAAACTGTGTAAAATAAAACTAGCTGGGAGTGAGCTCATTTTATAGAGGCACATAAACACGCTAGTAAGTGAAAATTGGCATGTGCATGCAAATACTTAGGATAAAAAAAACATCAGTGGACATTAACAGAATTAAACTCCATAAACGGCTGCATGCGAGGGCTATTAAGCCCTCACATGCAGAGCTTTTGGTCCATATTGACATTATAGCATCACACAGTTGATGCAGATTTGTCAGCTGGACACCCATGATGCGACTTTCCTGTTGCACTACATCGCAAAGTTGTTCCATTGGATTGAGATCTGGTGACTCAAAGGCCATTTGAGTACAGCAAACTCATAGTCATGTTGAAAAAACCAAAAACAGACAGAGATGATTTGATGATTTTTTGCGACATGATGCCTTTTCTCCCCAGAAGCAGGCACCAACATGGGTACACTGTGGTCATAAAGGCATGGGCAGGGTGAGCAAGTGAACTCACTTTAGCTGCCAACACCAACACCAGCATGAACTATTGATACAGGGCAAAATGAATCAATGCTTTTATGTTGTTTACACCAAATTCTCAACCTACCGACGCAATGTTGCAGCACAAATCAAGACTCATCAGGCCAGGCAACATTTTTCCACTGACCAGTGTGAACTGGACAAAGGTAACTTCTGTTCTTAGGTGACAGGAGTGGCGATGTTCATTTTATTTATTTATTTTTATGTGCACGCTTAATTCTGATATGCATTTCTGTGACTAGAACAGGTGTTTAGATGTATGGCTCGATTCTATTCGAAAAAGTAAAATTTGTATTTATTGGTGGTCTGAGAAAGAGCCTCTGGCAAGAATACCCAGATGCCACGAGGCAGATACATTTGGCTTAAATGATTTAAAAAGCACAGAAAGCATAGAAATACTGTAACAGCGGGGGCCGAGACACCATATTAACATCCCGAGTGCATGCGTCACATCTCTGAAAATAGTGGGAAAATTATCCTCCTAAGACCCGAACTCTTCCATGACATGCATTTTTAATTTCTCTTTGATATTTGGGCATATTGGGGCCGGATGAATGTAAAAACAAAGAATTACCAGTTGTTGGGGTTTTTTTTACCTTATTTTTGTTTTTAAGAAAAATGAGAGCCACATATGAGGATATTCGTTTAAAATTTTGATTAAACAGTAGCAGTATAATGTTCTCCTAAGTGGATATCAGGCCCATGTAGAGCAAAATTGAGTATTTTAGTCTAAATAACCCAAAATGTGATGTGATGTGGACGTCAGGTCCTAGGAGGTTAAAGAGATGTCAAATATTAGTTATATACCAGTTTTAATGCTCAAAATAATCAAATGTTTTGTACTATAGAAGTAGAAGAGTGCCTCAAGCTTTGTGCAGCAAAACAACAGCTAGCAAATCAATATGTGGTTGCTAAACCATCAAATTATCAGCAGCACCTTTTCCAAGCACACATAAACACACAGGTATAACAAAGCACTGAAAAGAGCAAAGAGGGAACTGGGTCACAAAGTTTGATTTCGACTAACTAATGCACCTATTATTAGTTTTGGTTGTCTTTAAACAGCCGTGACACCGCATATCTACTGAGGAGGAGAAAGATATAGTTCATTATTATATGAGCCAATGAATTTCTGGACAGACTCTAGATGGGCATTATCGGAGACGCCTCAGGCTCCTCTCTGGCGTGAAAGATGGTGGTCATTTGGCTAGACAAGAGGCGGTGAGGACCCCCTCCTAGACTGGAGCAGACGGGTGCAGAGGAGCCTAGGGCTGGCTGTATTAATGAACAGGCAGCGCTGAAAGGGACAGGTTTCTGTAATGCTGATGAATGGTCATTACAGAGCAGAGACGGGAGAAGAGAGCACAAGGGGAAGAGAGGAGAGGGGGAGAAGAGTAGAGTGAAGTGGGCACACAGGGAGCAGCAGTGAAAAAAGGCTTTAATTTGCACCTCAGATTTCTGTAAACTCGTTTATCATGTCAGCAGTGCCACTGTTCCTCACGTGCCTTCCCACTCCATCCTCTACATGCCCTTACTAGACCCAACCATTTTTTTGTTTGTTGCCAGATGTTTCCACATATTCTTTGTGCCAAATGGTTTTATTACCTGCGCTGGTTTTCAAACAGCAAAATTCGACGGCTCACATTTATCAGCTCTATCTCGCCTTACATCATTTTATGGACTTTTTTCCATCATTTGACTGGATGTTGCGGCTGTGTGTGAAGAGCCAATATCTTCTCCTCTCTATTAAGCTTGATTGAGCAGCTGGAGTTTTAAAGGTCATAAGAAGGAGGAAGCACAGGGAGATATATGCACATAAGAAACATGAACTGACTTGAGGCCCACTCAGTCCACTATAGACCTCATTAACTTCTCGCCTTCAGCTGTTTGGATCATTGGTGTTGGGAACTTTGGAGAAATAAATCTTTGTGCCAAGCAGTTGCTTCAAATGGAAGCAAAAGGCATTGTATTATTATAAAGATTGAAATTGATCCAAGGAAAATAAAAAATGAAAAAGTGTTTCAGATCATTTTCTCAAAATATTCCACAAAATATTCATTTGAATTCACTGGTGCTTTTATGTAACTCTTTTTTTTGGTCTGTGAGCTCTGCTGCTGTATGCTAAAGAATAATACATGCCTCTTAAAAATACTGTAACTAATTCAAATATTGCACACTGAATATCAGTGGATTGCCACTAACAATTTTTGCAAGGCCAGCTTTTGCACAGCTGGACAGTTACTCAGATGATTTCAAAGCAAGCTTCTTCTATTTTTTTTTTCTGTGATTTCTCTGCCTGATTCTCAGTGAATCCAGCCAAATGTTAATGGCACGTTTTTAGCATGATTTGGTGCACTGAGTTAATTCCCCAAGGGGCTTCTGATGCTCATCCAAGACCCTTTCTGGGTCACACCTGCAAGAAATGGCCTGCAGTGAAATTCAGTTCAGTATGCACTCAAATGGCTTTCCATCCATCCTTGGCTCTCGTGAAGTCCCTGCCTGTCTGTCTAATTGTAATTCAGCAGTGCTTAATCTTGAATTTGTTACACACTATATTTTGTAACGTATCGACTCAATGCCCAGCGAAACTTGGCATCGACAGAAAACGGTATTGCATCCAAAATCATGCCTTGGTTTGCGCTTATGCAGTGGGAGTGCACATCCTACAGCTGTGAGCCTACTTGATAAACAAGACAATAAAATGTTGCTTTGCACTTGAGGAATTAATTTTTTTAAAGTAATACATTTGTGTGTCATCAGTGGATGAACAAGCCCCAATAAGCTGATGCATTTTTCTCAGTCCAGGAAGAGGACTCAAGTTAGTGCCTTAGGGAAATTACTGATATGTGTATGAATTCTCTGTGCCTCCGCCAATCTTAGCATTCTCTATCAAAAAAGAGTGAGCACTGCAGCCTTATAGCAGATAATTACTTATCAGCCATGTGGACTTCTTTCTCTCTTCTCTGTCTTTCTGTAGTGGGAGGAGGTGAGTGGCTATGATGAAAACCTCAACACCATCAGGACGTACCAGGTGTGCAATGTCTTCGAACCAAGTCAAAACAACTGGCTCCTCACAACCTTCATTGATCGCCGCGGAGCACAGCGCATCTATGTGGAGATACGATTCACCGTGCGCGACTGCAGCTCCATCCCAAATGTCCCCGGTTCCTGCAAGGAGACGTTTAATCTCTACTATTATGAAAACGATGCTGTCATTGCCACTAAAGGCACAGTCTTCTGGATGGAGGCCCCCTACCTCAAAGTGGACACCATTGCTGCTGATGAAAGCTTCTCACAGGTGGACTTTGGCGGACGCCTGATGAAAGTTAACACAGAGGTGCGAAGCTTTGGTCCGCTGTCTAAAAATGGCTTCTACCTGGCCTTTCAGGACTATGGGGCCTGTATGTCTCTTCTGTCAGTCAGGGTATTTTATAAGAAGTGTCCAAGTGTGGTTCAGAACTTTGCAGTCTTTCCAGAGACCATGACAGGGGCTGAAAGCACTTCCCTGGTCATTGCTAGAGGGACTTGCATCGCAAACTCAGAGGAAGTAGATGTCCCTATAAAGCTCTACTGTAACGGAGATGGAGAGTGGATGGTTCCTATCGGTAGCTGCACTTGCAAAGCTGGGTTTGAACCTGACAATGGCAATGTCTGCCGAGGTAAGTGGATTGATCTTTTTCTGTAAAAAAACACCATGGTTGCTATGAGAGTGTATTATCAGTACTTACTGGGCCCTATGTACATTTTTCTTTCTTTTTCATTATTCAGTCTTTTAAAGAGATGGACTCCTCAGAATAGAACAGATCAATTCACCTTAGTCTGTTGGCATTAATTTATTCTGTTTTGGTATCACATACAACAGGGCATCATGTTACTTTTGGTCACAGGTCTTCCACTCTAGTGTAATGGCTGAATTGATTGTGTTTCATGTTTTGCAGCTTATGATACACCATACTTTTTCCTTAATCACATCTACCTCCAGGGAACTAAAAAGATACATTAGCATTGAGTTGTAATCTGCTGTGAATGTCAGCCTTTTGTCCATCCTACCTTTCAGATGACAAAAGGTTTGATTCTGCCTCAGTGCGATGTGCTGATGAATACATTCTGAGGAATAGATAATAGCTCATATCTAAAAGGAAGGTTGAATGGGCTTTTAGTTCAAGCTGTCACTTTCTGTTTTTGCGTGCCCTCTAATGCACCTTGTTTTTCTGACACGCACATATACAAACAGAAGATTTGCTCAAGGTGTCTGACGATAATGCGAGTGGCTTGAGGCTCTTGGTGTGGCAAAGTATTGGTTGGCCTGCCTCTCGGGGTTAGTTGGAAAGTGTGTGGAGCTCAGATAAGATTGATTTACCCACATCTGGTCTGATCAATAAACAGATATAAGTGCCACATATCTACAAAGCACACTGTGTGTGACTGTGTCTACTGTATCCTTCTCACATTGCACCATGTCCTGCGCAAAACCCACCTACACACTAACGCACATCATAACAAACACACAAAGTCCTTGCCAAAGATTGGATGACTTTCGAATGAAAATAACAGGGCAGAAGTAAAAAGGCTGTGCTTAGGTTGATGTAAACTCTTAATTTAGTTTCAAATTTTTACACCATTTCTCAATATTGTAATTCTCTTTACAAATAAATTGTAATCTGTGTATTCAATGCTTTAAATGCATAAGATAGACTCTCTTGTTTATCTTGTAAATAATTAAAGTGATCGGCTGATCAGCGACTTTGATTTATCCGATATTCGCTTCTCTTAAGTAAGTACAATTATCAATAAATCAGGGGCTCAGTTTGCTAACAGATCATGCAAATTTAGAATAAAATCCAGTTAGGCCGAAAATCATGGTCAACAGTCTAATTAAAAGCTGATTCCTCTGATGTCCATCATGTACTGGACAAAATCACTTAAATCAAATGCTAATACTGCCCATTGAGATTGGTACACGCAATATATTTAATGTTAAATTATTTCACTGAAAAAAAATGTCCTAAGTATGTTTTTTTTTTTGTCTTTCTTTTCTTAAACTTATGTGTTTGTGATGTATTGGTCTGCAATATAAAAACAAAAACACAACAAAATAATTATAATAAGCAAAATAAAAACAAACTACACATTGTCATCACCTTGAAGCCACGTGGCCTTGATAGAGTATTCGGTTACAATACTACAGTCAGACCGAGCCATTTGTGCTGAATATTCATAAGTCCACTGAACATGCTCCTGGTTGTATATTGACCTAACAACCCTTCTTTGTTACTGGACTGCGGGCTCCTGAACGTCTTGGTCTCAGAGTCTTATCGATAGGCGAGTAGCTCTCGTCACTGTCATAATTCTTGACATGAAGATTGGATCATTTCAAGCCTGTTAACAGACTTCATCTTGATGCTAGTTTTGCTTCATGTTTACATTGATTATTTGTTTATTCGTGTTAAATCCTGACTCACTAATCATGCTGTTGGCATGTGTGGCATGTGCATGAGCATGCCATGCACTTGTGTTCCTATGCAGTGCAGGAATTTTAATTCAAATGAACCAAATAACCTTGCCTGTCCTCTAGCGCTGACAGTCTCATAGTCTTTAATGGATGTAAACTTACACTGATCCTTGTCAGTCTTTTCTCCGTGTAGCGTAACTTTGCCTCTTTCCCCATTATTTACCTCAGGCTTCTGCACACTTGGTGCAGAATAACTGGAATGTTAGTATGAGGGTTATTGTGGCTTGTGTTAGTGGAAGTCACCACAAACACGCATGTTCATGTACAGACAATGGTCTCACTGTAGAAATTGCTCTACAAAGACCACTAATTCCTACAATCCTCCAGACTTCCTTCTCTAGTACATTTCCAGCTAAGATAATCATCTCATCTCTCTCTGATGGAAATGCACTACTTAGCAGTGCAGGGACTGGTCAATACTGATGTTTGAAATTTCATCCAGTGTTGAAGCCTGTTTTTGTTCTATTTGTGTTGTTTTTGTTTTCCCGCTTTGTTTCATAGTGCACTGCCTAAACTCAATGTCTAAATGTATGCCTAGTATTGTTATGGAAGCTAGTGAATTCAGCCTATACTAAGAGGAAATTACTGGGGTCTGTAGCTTAACAAGAGTTGACAGTAGTATGAATCTGTGAGGCCTCGATCCCACAGGTCTCCAGACCAGTAGGTAACCCCTACAAAGAAAACCTCTTTGCCATTTTTTGGACACTCGTAGGTTTGCTGTGCTTGCCCGTATTTTGTGTGGAAGATACAATTTCTCTGTGAACACTCTCATTGCGGGAGGAGGTTTCATTACCGTTTCATTACCGTGTGGCAAGTGTTTGCGGATATATCAGCATATTCCATACAAAATACAGGCGCATGCAGTAATCTGCTAGTAAAGAGGTTTTAGGTGCAGCAAACTACTCACAAATCTTTGTGTAATATACATTTTTCCGTCTGAACCAGTGGTTACCAGATGATTGCCAATCGATCTCTAGGACTGTGAGACTGTGGCCTAAAATGTTGTGTTGGTTGACCATAGTCGTCAGCACAAACACTGACTTGACAAAAAAAAAAGGCCGGAGTAGAAATAGATGATCTAACCATTTCTAGCTCAAATAACTAGCTCACTCTCTGGAGTCTTGTGTGGAGTCAGTTCCCCTCTCATCTCCACTGAGAGTCCCCTCCAATAACAGCAATCTCAACCTTTTTATTTTTTGTGCAGTTTCTTTTCATGGACTTGCAATCCATTATTTAAACAGGGAAATCTAACCTTAAAGTGCTTGTGGAAGCTCAGTTCTATGGGCAACCAATCAATTGGGGGGTTGGTGCAATAACACAGCCTCAGCATTGGGTCAGAAGTAATTGCCCATTAGCGATGAAGGAACAGGAACAGGAGCAAAAAGAATATAAGAGCATGTAGTTTCATGCTGGAATAATTCCCCTCATTGATACCAACAAAACAAAAAGGTATTGCTTAGAAAAAGGAACACAGTTGTACTGTGTACAGTCTGGTAAAGTGTGGAAAATTTTCAATTAGTGCCTTTATTATGTAGCTCTTGAGACACAAATTAATGTAATTTGCCTAATTCACCAGAACCTAAGAAGGTAAAAATTAGTTTCTGCTTATAGTGACATGAAAACGAAAGTGCATTTATTCTAGCTATGCATCTGTATATTACATATTATACCCACCATAACAAAACGTCTGTTAGGTGGATCATCATTTTGAATAGTTGTCCTTTTACATGGAAAGCCAGTTTTTTGAATTGATAAATGATGGTTTTATTTCTAATTTCTTTGGAAGTTCTTTGTCGTGACAGCAGAAATAACGCTTGTTTTTTTTTGCAGGTTTAATATGTGCGTTTCAGTGTTGTTTCAGGGCATGTGCGAGCTTCCCAGCACCTGATTGCACTTTCATTAATCTATATGTTTTAATTGTTGTCAGGTAGCGTGTTGTGTATGTGTTCGGTTGAGCAGAGAGACCATGTAGAGTTGTTGTGCTCTGTAACGATGATGCCAGCATGCCATCCTCATTACCAGCTCCCCAGCCACTACGCAAGCCATTTGGGTATCCCCCACTTTTCCTCTCCCTCTTTCTCTGTTCCTCGCTCTCTTCCCCTTAGCTTTGTAAGCAATCCGCTAAATATTTTATCACCTCCCTGTTAAATCGAGCGAGACACTCCAAATAAGACCCCGCTACCTCTACCAATACAAAGCTTGTCTCGGCTGTGTGTCCTGCTTAACTCAAGTATCCTAAACAGGCTTGTAGGATGGTTTCACTGACCCTTCTTAGAACTGGTGTCAAGGCCCACCTGAGGAGTAATTGATGGAATCACCTCGATCGTGCTGGCTTTGCGTCATGTGTTTTGTTTTGAGTCTGTCTAAGCATTGATCATTTTAATGTTCCGTATGTTTTTTTATTTGAAGTAATTAAAACACCACAGAAACCTAATTATTCTGTTGTTTAAGCTCTTAAAAGTGGACGATGTGGCATAGTTGCAAATTATCCTCTATGAAAACCAATTCAAAACTTTCGAGTGCTTATTCTTAATTTTGGTGTTAAAACTTTATTTCCTGTGGGGAGCCAAATTTTCGTTGGGCTGACAAATGTCCTCTTCAGGTCTATAAGGCTAGCTATATTTTGTTTAATTTTGTAATTGGTTATTCTCAAAGTTTCGTCTGTTTTCACTCTTTACGGGCCATATGCAACACACATAGCTGTTGAGACTCTCCCCACCTGTGTGGATGTGGAGATTTGTGTGGGCTCAGGGAATCGCAAAAGGTCTGGAATTGAAGCATTGCTATTGCAGCTACTCATTGCTTTCAAATGGATGTGAACGGGCTATGAATGAAATGGGGGAAATGAGAATTTGACTGGTTAATTTCATTATCTGTGGTACTATATGAATTCCCAGAATTTTGCTCCATACTATCCATCCATCCCTCCATCCATCCTATATTCCAGTGCAGTGACCATAAGTATGTATTTATTTACTTTAGTATTTATGTCATTCCTCACCCGAGCAGTCCTATAGGCTGGCACGCCAATATGAGTTCTCTCATATTTTCTCTCACTGTTAGGCTCCAGCAGGCTTTTGACATGCTGCCACATTAATATTACAAATATTCAAATAACTTTATTTAACATTCAGCAGGCTGACAGTG